GCCCAAAGTGTACATAAGAAGTTGTCTCCGTGATTGAAAGCTTTCCAATTCTATATGTTTCTCAAGGCATGGCGTTCTTTGTAGACCCATTATCTTTATTGATGCCGCAGTCCAAATCTCCCTTCTTCGTTTATCTTTCACATTTTTTCCATTTCATTGATATTTTTCGCAAAGCGAACGATATCGGCGAGCAAAACCTAGGATTGAGATGAATCTCCTGTATGCCTTGTGGTTAGTCATGTGGAGAAATGCTCTTTTTTATTTGCATTTTCATATGGACTCGCTTTTTTACTGAACAGAAAAATCCACTGCGTTTAAACTTTGGGGAACTAAGTCTTCTAACAAATGGGAGTTGGTGGAGTTGTCTAAGGTGCTGATGTAAGGAAGCAGTCTCTTTATGGGCGTAAGTTTAAATTCCCTTTTCTCTGCTTTTTTGCTGTTTTATGAAAAATGCTCTTTGCACAGTAGCAATTTTGTAGGCTGACTGCGTGGTGATGGAACTTGAAGATGGAGTAGCTCTTTCTTCAAAAGCCGTGGCGCGTACGCAGGCGACAAAGGCACTTGACAAGTTTGCTAAAGAGCAATTGAATTGTTTTGAGTTGGGCCTCCGAGTTAATTCGGTGGCGAGCGGATTGCTGGAGGACGACGTTAAGGTGACTATATATATTCTTTGGGCCAGCCACACTCAAATTTTTCTCCAGGAAATATGTAAAGCCGAACATCTGCCGCAAGCATTCATGGTGCCGAAAGTTGATAGTCCAGAAGACGTAGCGAAGATATACGATGTTTTTAGAAGCAATTATTCTGCAAAAAGAGTTACGGACACGGTAAGGGCTTATTTCCCAACTGTTAATCGATCTCTGAATTGTTAATTTAGAATACCCGCCTTGTTATATGGATAGAATCAGCAAGAGCACTTCTCGATATGCCAAGAATTTTGTCGTCTACACTAAACCTGCATAAAAACTCTGGATTTTTTAAACTGGACGCTGTTGTCTTTGGATCCGATGACTACTGCGCTGACATAGGTGCGTTTTCTTGACCATACCTAACCATCAGTTCACGTTCAACTACAATGAAATATTAGAAGTTTTGACTTTTATTGTATGCCCTTCCTCAAAAACTGGGAGAATTGATTCTTTCTACTTGAAAACTGGAATAAAGTCCACCACGAAATCGCCTATAACCATCGAGCACTTGCGAATCGATGAAGGTATGCACGCGAACGGAGGCTTATGGGGAACCTCACGTGCCGGCTCCTCTTGCGTAGACTACGTATGCATAGGTACCATGACCCAGAGAAAGACGGAAAAAGAACTCATACTTTTCGCAAAAGTGATAGTGATTTTTGATCACTATGGAAGTGAGAAACAAGCTCTTCCTGGTCGAAACAAATGTGCGGTAGAACCTTTCCATATAGTAGTTAATGGAAAATTTGGGGTGCTATAACATTAAATACTATATATCCTTTCCCATTCATGCTATTCAGAAGCTAGAGACATTTTCTTACCAAAAGTGAACATTAGACAAATTCGATCTGATTTAGCACGTTCAGAGACCATCACCGCGTTAGAAATTGTCGTGAAAAGCTCACTAGGTCTATGCGTCCCTTGTAATCTTTCTTTGATAGATTTTTAGAAGTTGCGGAGTTGTCAGCGTTCAGCGAACACATCGACTAAAACAGAGCTAAGAGAAAAAATTGTTTAGAAGAGAAACCATTTGAAAGAAATACGGTTTTCTGATACGTTCTTTAGAATATATTGCTGGATGTTGACTGAAAGGTGCGCAGCTGTCAGCTTTACCGTAAATAAAATTTCTACCAAAGGTTAAAAGCGAAATCAAAGACTTTAAATTAACGTTAAAAACTAGGACAAAAAAGCACCGTTTTTCTTATTTTCTTCATTCACATCAAAAATTGAATGTTGGGCGGTTGTCTGTTCAAGTATGTGTGTTTACGGCCTTCACGATATTATACGACTTGCCTACATTACCTTGCAAATAACGAAGAAAAAGGCACCCGAGCCAAATGCACCGAGGAAGACGCTGGGTTACGTAGAGTGTGCATTTACATGACGACAGTAGGGTGCGACAGAGACGACGAAGCAGGCTTTATGGCGGGCCATCTTGGCTCATACTCAACGAAATCACACCACTTACACATCATTCTACTCAAAATGCACAGAAGAATTTAGCTGACATGCACAACGTTCCTGACTTTTCGGGGGGATCGCCTTCTTCAGAGCCTGAAGTGGGTGAAATGCAATGCAGTTAACCCGATCAAACGTCTTTTCAATCCCACTAACGAAATTCTAAGACATTGTTTGATCACTGATACTGCTGACTAAATACTCACCCCTTGATTATGTCGATCTTTCTTTTGTGCAAGAAAACGACCGCTCACTAAGTAGACAGACCACTAAATGGTGCCTTCGCTAGGTCAGAAGAGCTGACCCAGATAAGGAAGGAGTTCCCGCGTGATTGAGAGACATT